GGGTGTTTGCGGAGAGGCCGATGAGCTTGACGCCGCGCTTGGAGAAGTCGGGCTCGAGCTTGGCGAAGGCGCCGAGCTCGGTGGTGCAGACGGGGGTGTAGTCCTCCGGGTGGGAGAAGAGGACGACCCAGCTGTCGCCGATGAAGTCGTGGAAGTCGATAGGGCCGTTGGTGGTGTCGGCCTTGAAGTTGGGGGCGACGGTGCCGAGGCGGAGGCTGTTGTGTGCGACGTTAGCATTGATTTGGCGGACGTGGTTTACGTGGTGACGGCGGGGGGGGGGGGGGGGGGGGGGCGGGGGGGGGGGGGGGGGGGGGGGGGGGGGGGGGGGGGGGGGGGGGGGGGGGGGGGGGGGGGGGGGGGGGTGGGGGGGGGGGGGGGGGGGGGGGGGGGGGGGGGGGGGGGGGGGGGGGGGGGGGGGGGGGGGGGGGTATCACGACGCGGGGTCGAGTTCAAGGATTGCAGGTTGACAACTTACGGAGCGGGGCGTTGGTCAGCCATTGTGTCTGTCTTCTTTGTAGAGTATGAGAAGATGTATGTGTGAAGGGGTATATGGTATGGAAAGAGAACAAGGAGCAAAAGAAACAGCAATGGGGAAGGCTGCGGTAGATGGTGTGGGAGTCGAGGTGTAATATATAGCTCGAAGCCGCGCCCCAGGCACAGTCCAGAGCAACGTACAAAGCCCGGCCGTTTTCGTACCTCTGTACCTTTTTCTCAGCTTCCCGCAGCTTTCCCGTTCTCAAAGGTACCTCTCCAGTTTGTCCCCTCCTTGGTCTCGGAGTACTACTACCTTTGTTTGCCCGACACTGACTATGTACATTATCTTGAAGGCCTGTTTCCCTATTTTCCAGCCCTTGACTTTTACCTTGTTGTTGCCTATTTCTCTGTTGCTTGTTTCTTTGGTCTCGTAGTATTACCTTGTCTCCGGTTTGACGATATGGTCGCCGAAGTGCCAAGCTCATGCAACCTACGCGATCCAGCTTGATTACAACTCTCAGCATATGCCCCAATGAAGCGTCATATCACCCAGCATTGGCATTGGCAACCCGTAGAAAGCCACGGAATCTGCTAGGTGACGGGTATCCTCTCTACCTTAGCAAAGAAATGATTTGTCTTTGTACCCGTGTCTCCCCCCAGACTGGCACGTTGTTCCCTCAACGACGAGCGGCAAGCTCCTCCTCCAACTTTTTGCCCCGCGTTGGAGGGGCTGTGATTTTCACTTTTGCAGAGGTCACTTTTACCCCTCCAAGTCCGAAATCGGCTAGACTCGATGGCGTGCTCGATTACATCATCCTTGGCTCAGGGCACATCATGAGAAATCACATCCCAACTATACTACGTACTGAAGAAGACGCCTACTGGGCCCCTTTGGGAGAACCCTTACGGCGCTATCTGGAGAGGCTAACCCGCTAGGAAGTGCTCCAGCCTCCAGGGAATAAGGCAGAGTGTGTCACTGTCTCTACGGAGTATTGTTTTCTTATCTGGGAGCTCAAGGATGTGGTCCACTTTGGTCGTCACCTCCCGTCTTGTTATGTGATGCCGTAGATATTCTTTAGCAGTGTGTGAAGCCCGATATATATACAAATGTACCGAGTAGCCCAAACATAACTACTCCTCATTGAGCCCTGAGATACGTATAGTATGGCTTACAGAAAAACGTCCAGCGGCGATCAATGGTGCAATCCAGTCGACAACCTCCAGCTCACTGACCCCCACTGCTTGGTCACCACATCATCCACGCCGCACATCGAACCATCACAAAAGAAGAATCCTACGAGGTGCCACGGCATCAAGGGTACCCGAATCGTGGTGCTCCGTACCCCAAAGCTTACCCATCGTGCCATCCACCACCCCGGTAGCTCCTCGCACGCCATCGCCGACAACCGATGCCCCTCCCGTCTCACGGTCCCACTCACATCGCCGACCTCCTCCGTTCCCGCGCCGACTGCCGGCTGCCGATCCCCGGGCTCAAAAAGGAGATCCATCCTGGAGCATCGTGGAGATGGGTAACCTGTATTTACTCTCTAGTGTGTCATGTTACTTCTGTCTCTGGCACTCTCTGGATTACAAATCTGTCGTGGAAGCCCTCAAGGGCTTGGCTTCCCTGCTGACCACATCTGCAATTATGGCTACAAGATGAGCGTTGGCATCCATACTTTCCCCGGTGCCTGTATGCCTGTATACCTTCCTCTGCCATCTGCTAAGGAATCAAGTGTTGACTTGCCCGTCTCCTAGCCCGGGTTGTCGCTACCTGGCAAAGAACGGAGAATCTTCAAGACTACCCAAAAACCATCTTATTTCCAACCCCATCATGGTTGAGACAAGTGTCACAATGACGAGGGGGGGATTCTTATTTCCTACGGCCAACGCCCGTCGACAATGCTTCGTTGGAATCCCATCTAGTCTCAACGTGCCACTGCTTTCTAGTGAAAGTAGAAACGCAATTTGACGGGCATCAATCATCTCGGTAAAATGCTGCGCCACTAGGAAGGATCATCAGCGTTCTCACGCGCCTCAACCTGTGGTTTGCTCTGGACAAGACTACACCAGAAACACGGAAGCTTGACGGCTGAGTCGTGAGCTGGAAGTTTCAAGGTCGAATTGACGGGGGTCCATGGCAAAATGCTGCTGCCTTGTGCAGACGGAGCTGACCTCCGTAAGAATGCCACTCTTGGAATCTCTGCCTAATATCGGACGCCCTTCTACGTTCTTTGGCCGGACAAAGACGACAATTTGCTATACCAGGAACAAGTAGGAAGAAAAAAAGACTCAGCTAGAGGAGAAGGTCGGCATCGGCATCGGCATCGGCATCGATATCGACATCGACATCGACATCGGCATCAATTACAACGGGAACACTCTTCACTGGGGGTTGGAAAACATCAGTCTCTAGAACCCCATATCATACCAGCCATACCCAAACAAAAACCATGGATCCAAACCACACAAAAGCCGAAACAAAAACCTTCAGCCTCCCAGACGGCCGCACCCTAAGCTTTGCAGTCTTTGGCGCCGGCGCAGAGACATTCCACACCACCCCATCACCCACGCAACAAAACCAACCCCGTCTGGCGTCGGCCGTGCTATTCTACTTCCACGGCTTCCCCAGCAGCCACGAAGAGGCCTCAATCTTTCACCAAGCCGCACGCCGCCACGCCGTCCAAATCATCGCCCTCGATCGACCAGGCCACGCCGGCTCCGCGTTCCAACCCAACAGGCGCATCCTGGACTGGCCCGCTGACGTCCTCGCCTTCGTAGATCATTTTCAGATTCCCCGGTTCGGGGTCCTGGGTCTATCGGGGGGCGCACCGTATGTTTTCGCATGTTGGAAAGCCATCCCGCGCGAGAGGCTCGTGACGGCGGGAGTTTGTTCGGGGTTGTACCCCCCTGAGCTTGGGTACGCCGGCATGGTCCTCCAGGGACGGGTGATGTTGACCGTAGCACCGTGGATCGCGCCGGTCGTGGCGTGGGGCATGGAGGTGTCGCTGGGCAGGGCGGCGAGAGACGAGGCAAGACCCGGGAGGTTTGAGGAGACCGTGCTGGAGGATTTGAAGACGAGGCCGGAGGTTGATCGGGAGGTGTTGGATGGGGATGTTGGCGGGGTCCGGTCTGCTATGCTTGCTAGTGTGCGGGATGCTGTTTTGCCTGGGGGATGGGGCCCGGCTTGGGATGTCAAGTTGGCGGGGAGTTATTGGGGGTTCGAGATTGGGGAGCTTGAGGTTGAGGCTGGGGAGATGGTTTGGTGGCATGGGAGGGAGGATGTGAATGTGCCGGTTGGTCTTGCGGAACGGGCGGCGGAGTGTGTGCCTGGGGCGGAGGTAAAGTTTGTGGAGGGGGAGGGGCATGTTAGTCTCGTGGTGCGCAAGGCGGACGAGGTTATGTCTACTCTTGCGGGCCTGTTGAGGGAGACAGATTGAAGGCTCGGTATTCATCGCGGATGTCAAAGTGGTCAGTTTGGTATGTGATATTTATTGTGTTACTCGTGACTAAGCACTATTTCTGTTATAGCCGTGCTTCTCTCCTACTGGCTCCGAGAAGCCTTGAATACTGTGTGAGCATCGACGCTCTGGTATCTCCGGTCATGTGCCGTTTCCCTCAACTCCATTCAGCGGGGAGGGCTAGCCGGAGGAGTAGGGGGATCAGTGTTGGGCGAAGGAGGATCATTGCTCTTGCTGTCCGTCACTTTGACGTCCGTCTTGATCGTAATGTTCATTTTGGGTCTGGTGGATGACGAAGACTGAGGCATCTTTTGTACTGTATTGGTGTGGGTGGTGAGTGAGGTGAGTGTAAAATATGGAAAAAGATCGAGGTAAGCTGTTCTAATATGTTGTTCTGTGGTGAGGTAGATGTATGATGTTGAGAAAGATCGAGAAATGCTAGTGTATTGAAGCTGTCTGTGACGATGTAGAAAGAATTGGCTTTGATGGCTCGAAACATCTCGGGTCTATATACTTTCCACTGTCTGTATCGTGGATCATCTACGAGGGATCACGCGAAGTAGTGAAGATGGCTGAAGTGGGATTAAAACATCGTGAATAACGATTCCATGGCTCTCTACGGTACATAATCCGGTTGACCGGATAACTGAACAGATACAAAGGTGTACTTTGTACGTGTCTTTGTCAATTCGAAATCGAAATCATGGAAAAACTAAGTAGCTTGGACACTCTTCGAGTCGGCTCCGCATTGCCTTTCTTTATCTTGAGTAACTAAGATGTCAAGGAACGGCGCAGCTAGCCGTTCGAACTCGCCATCCCATTACCTCTAGAAGATTTTATACCCCGGCCAAGGAGTAGACTGCGCTTGATCGTCAGCGATGGCAGCCCAAGGTTAGTTACGTAGACTCCATTCTTGAAAGGCATTGAGACATCAGCTTTCATGGGGAAGGGTCAAGGTTGTATGAGGTGTTGAGTATAATGTGCCAACTAGCTATGTTCTAAGCGAATGAAGTAAGTAAGAAAGTGGTATCTCGCTTGCAGTAAAACAGTCCCAAGAATAGAAATCTACAGCTTCACTCGTCCACCGTTGAGTTCATCCCAATCCCGCCCAGAGAAAGGCTCGTAGGTGTTGTTCTTCAACCAATACACTTCGCCAGCGGCGTCCGTGCCGCCCGGCCTGACACCCTGGGATCGGAGACCGTGCTTCTGCTGCTTGTTCGTACCCGTCGTTTGCATAGCCTCGGGAGGCATGACTCGCAGGAAGATGGGCAAAGCATACTTGGGTAGTGACTGCTTCACGTGCTGCGCAATGCTCCTCAGCACCTCCTCGGATGGTTGGCCCTGAAGGACAACGGCAGCACACCCTGCGCGTCCGTCGTGGTTGGGCAGCTCAACACCGTAGACGTTTGCCTCTTGTACCAATGGGTGTGAGCCAACGGCCTCGCCAACCTCTTGTGTCGACACGTTTTCACTCTTCCAGCGGAACGTATCGCCAATACGGTCGGTGAAGTAGAGCCTTCCTTCGCTGTCCCAGCGGACCACGTCGCCCGTCCTGAACCAGGCATCTCCCTTTTTGAAGACGCTCCGCAAGACCTTTGCCTTTGTTGCGTCTGGATTGCCGTAGTAACCCTGGAAGCGGCGGTTGAGGTCGTCGGGCGAGAGTCTGAACATGAGCTCTCCTGGCTCACCAGCCTTGGCAGGCCTGCACAGACCCGTCTTCCTGTCCCTCCAAGGCTCCTCGTTATTCTCATCCATCTCGGCGAGGGCAACGTCGAGGCCCATGACGACGCTGTACAGGGTGCCGTTTCGTCCAACAGCGCCCTTGGCAAAGTCGTTTCGGCTCAAGTTCCAGGTTCCAAATGAGCCTTCGGTGGCGGCGTAGAATTCGGCAATGGTGTCGATGCCGAACCTCTCCTTGAACCTGTTCCACACGTCCGGTCGCAGGCCATTGCCAAAAGCTACCCGAACATTGTGCTTCTTGTCGAGACTTTCACCGGTGACGGGGTCGACTTGTGGGGCAGCTGCAAGCAAGTACCTGCAGGTCTCGCCAACGTACTGGATGATGGTGGCCTTGGAGGAGCGAACCTCCTCCCAGAAAACCTTGGTCGAGAACTTCCTTCCTATGCAAATCGTACCACCCGCCTCGAGGGTATTACCGAATCCTAGCAGGGCCGCGGAGCTGTGATACAACGGCATAGACTAGATTCCTGTTAGTTTGGGGTCCATGGTGGGTTGATGATTCGACTTACAGTGTAGAAGACGTCATTGGGAGAGTTGCTGGTGAATCTTGATGTGAAAACACCACCGACGATGCATTTCGCCCAGGACACAATGGCGGGTTTGGGCATGCCCGTTGTTCCTGATGTGTAAATCAGGATCGCCAGATTCTGATACTGGCTCTCTGACCGATCAGAGTCGGGAGCACGCCTGGGCTTAACGGTGTCGATTTCTCTGTGCAAGCTCTCATCGAGCACCACGAACTCCACGGTGCTCAGCTCGCTCCTCACATCTTCAGTGACATTGGCGGCGACGTTGGGGTCAATCAGCATCAGTTTCGTCTTCGCGGCCTTGGCGCAGTGAGCTAGCGGTTTGCCAGTCAAATTGTAGTTGATGAAGGCTGGCTTCGCGCCAATGGACCACAAGCCGAGCCATAGGAAAACGAAAACGTCAGAGTTCTGGAAGTTGATGGCGACAACGTCCTTGGGCTTGACGCCGTGGTGTTCCCTCAACCAGGTGCCATATTTCAGGACTTGCTCATAAGTCTCGCGGTAGGTGTATGTTTTGCCCTCGAAGATGATGAACGTGCGATTGGCAGACGATTTGTTCTGTGCCGCTTGTTCGAGGACGTAAAACTGGTTCAACCGGTCCGTTCGCTCGCGCCACAGAGCCGAAAGGGTTGCGGGTAGCGCACATGAAAGCAGCTTTCTGTCGTACCACAAAGAAAGGCGAGCATTGATGTACGAATAAGCTGCGGCTGCAGCCGGCAGAGCGAGTGCGAGCGGGACTAAACGGCGAGGAAACGAAACAAGTCAGCGCGATCGGCCCCCAACGATGTTTTGTGCAGATGGCTGTGCCGAGGCAGGCTGATGTAATGCGCGATTGCGGCGCATTGGATGTGTGCCAGAGGTCGGTCTCCTTTACGGTGGTTTGTATTTGTCTTGGCGGGGGTCTCAAGCAGGGCCAAATAGTCATGACGACAGAGTGGGAGCCGTGGAGGAAAAATTGGCAGTTGGGGAAAGCTCACTCACCAGGCATTTTCACTTTGGCCAAGTGGCCAGTATTTGGATCCGGCTAGAGGTGATTCGTCCCAAAGGCTGAGAGTTATGTTGGTGTTCGTAGAGAGATGAGAAGGCCGACTGGCAGGGAGGCGGAGAGTGGCTAGTTGTCTTGATTGTGCGCCTGGGTGTTGGTTCGGTGTGTGTGAGACTCGGAATCAGTAGTGTTGTCTGGAGCTGTAGCTGGTAAAGAGAGCTTCAAGGCCGTGCTCGTATAGACTGGAAGTCCTCGTCGAGTAAGGATAGCTTGGAGGAAGGGCAACGTAGTCGAGACTTCACAGACAAAAGACGCAGTGAGCCAATTGCGCGAGGGTGTGGGTGAGGATAGGTATTTGTAACGGCCTGTCGAGGCTGTCACAAGATAAGAAAGGGTTTAAAAAGTAGAAAGCCTGTGTTGCAGTCGGCATTGGGATGTGTCGTCCCTGGTTTGAGGGACCCGTACGGGGGGGAAAAGATGGGATAAAACTACCTGTCGGTCCTATCATGCACAACACGACACGACACAACACAACACGACGCAGCAGCACCTTTTGCACCCCTCCGATTCTCGCCAAACAGTATCCGTACTCGGTGCGGTACTTCCTGGGAAGCAGTGACCTCAACAGTCGGCTGTTGGGATGTGGGAGCCCATGTATGGAGTACCTCTTTGACTGGGTACAACTTGGCGACCAGATGGGCGGGACAATGGAGAATATTCTTCTATGGGGCCCTGGACCAGGGTTGGGGTGGCGGAGAAAGCTCTTGATCAACGATGAATCGACGGTGCACAAGGTCCTGGCATGACATTCCTTCTCGACAACCGAGGAATATGACCAGCTACGACTGTCACGTTGGCGCTTGTGTTGGCACTGGTGCTTGCTCGTGGTGCAGCTGCACGCGCTTGTGGAACTGGTAGGTTGACTTTTGGCCTCGGTGTAAGTCGACAGTGGCAGCTCTACTGCGTAATGCTAGCTATGCTTTTGCTTTCCGTGTGCTTGGCCCGTCGCAGGCAATGGCTGGGTTGTGAAGATGGATCCAAGGATGGCATTGCTGGCCTCTCTGGGCGCGCCGTGCTGTGCGAGTGCGGTATCAAGTTCTCCTTAGCTCGCCCATCACGGTACGGATACTTTCGCCTGCATGCTGAGGTCGCAATAGTCCTGTGGAAGTGTGGAGAGAGGAGGCCAGCCAGCAGCCGCAGATCGAGTGCAGGCTTGCAGCTCGTTGGTTTGCGTTGCATTTGTGGTGCTCGCTGCATCGCCAGGCTTGGCCTGGCCTGCCAAACTGGGCTAAACGAAGAACAAATCGAAGCTTGAGCCTCGGCATCTGTTGAAGCTCGTGCGCCCTCGCGTCCGTACTCTGCGCCAGAAGTCGTTTTGAGTAACCGATTCGGGAGGGGTGGGCAGCAAACGCAGGCTAAACAGCACGTCTCTGGACTCTTTGATGGATGCTTCTTCAACGGCGAGTTGCGATTCGTCGGCAAGAGAGCGGGGTTGTTCCTTGCATTCCATGTTCCTGCTTTCCATTGCCAGACCCCCCCAGTCGACCAGATGCATGTCCTGGTCCCCTGCCGCTGTCCGCATCCCTCTTCCAGACGACCCGGTTTGACGGGAGCGAACCTACCGCTCGCTTTCTCTCTCTCTCTCTTTCTTTCGACAGCTACGGACCGCTCGTAACAGATCGAATAGCACGTTTGCGTTTCCGATGAACTTTGCATTGGCAATGGTTGCCGAGGTGTTGGACTTTGGCTCTGCGGCTCTTGACACATTGTCTTCCGCAGGCACTCGAAAGGAGCGCCATATATGTGCAACTCGTGGCGGACCTTTGCTTATATCAGCTCACATGAACGACGGCTCGATGCAACAGGGGTCCATCGCGAGTTTCTCTTCCCATGTCTATTGAGAGACGTTCCGGATTGGAAAGCACATCAAGCTGGTTATCTTTGGGGCCGTGTCGCCGTAATGACTTGACTCGGCTCGACGACGGATCCATCGAGAAACCGGGTATGCATGCCGAGCTGTGAGACTTTGTTGGCTCCCGCACCACGAAGGGATCGCCAGGCTCGCTTCAAAACTCCGAGTACGTTCGCCTTCCTAAAAGGGTAACATTGTTCTTTCTTTTGGTACGATCACGAGTGATTCGTGATAATAGACGACAGCCATTGCGGCAGATTGGAGGGGCAGCTGTAGGTCGCTTCCTCGGCTGATGGTCAGCTCACTCAACATTTTGGGTCGGAGGAATCGGCGACAATATTCGATGCCGGTTCCGCTTCTGCATGTTGGTGGAGCGGACTCGAGGAGGAAAAATCGGGCCTCGGACTCCTGAATTGTCCCTGAATTGGATCGTTGCCGCTCATCCCACCGTCTCACGTCAGCGTTGTCACAGCGAAAAAGATAACGTCTATTCGCCTCCGAGGCGCAGGCGTCAATCGCACTCGCATCCGACGGACGTGCATGGTGACAGCCACACCCAAAGTGCGGGTAGAGAGTGGTGAAGAACATCTGGGAATGCCTTCATTTCGTGGTCGAACAAGAGTCAGATGCACAGCGTACAAGTAGGACCACAGGCGTCTTCCCAATCCGTGATTGTGTCGAGGGTCTGGCAAGGTAGGTATCCGTAGTTGTGGCTTGATGCCGTAACGATGACAGGCATCAAGGCGGAATGATGCTGTCTGACCTTGTTAGACGGAGATTCTGGTTATTACGATCCGACTCTCCAGTTGCATAATCCACGTGACCGCGCGCAGCAATTAAGGTTAAGGTTAACGTGGCTGCGTGGCTACTTGCTCCTTATCTTATCGGGAGCTCTCCTCAAGCGCGACATTGCTGAGTCAAGCATCTCTGGCCTGTCTGAGGTAGGTATGCGAATACCCCTTGCTGGAATTCCACCTCTCATGATCGTTGTGGCTTGCTTGCTGCAGCTTACAACGCTCGACTTCACGACCGCTGCGTAGCTTCTACCGAACATTGCCGCGCACGGCAAAGGCTCATCAAATGCCTGTTGACGACGAAGCGGGCAGCCCGGCAGCCAGCGGTGCGAGCTTCACCCCCGATCAATCCACCACCTTCGCCCCTCCGCCGCAGACCGAGTCCCGCAAGGCTCCGCCCCCCGAGAAGCCATCCGATGCGCGCCGGCGATCGTTTGTCATAGCCGCCTTTTGGGCCATTGTTCTTCTCCTCGGTCTGCCAATATGGTGGATGACAACGAGCATCTACCGCGCCAACCTGCCTCTGAGCGGCATGGTCCAATGGGCGGATGGAAAGGTAGGCTCCTACCAGCTGGCGTCTTTGCAAGTTGAGGGAGGGCACCCCGCTGACTACTTGCGTAGGCTTGCCGTCCCGTGTTTCCTCTTCGTATATCAGTACAAGCGAACAAGTTGCAGGAACAGGAAGCGCAGAACCTCCTTCGCCTTACTCAACATGCCCTCGATGATCTCAACGACTTCTCGGGTCATCATCTCCGTCTGCAGCTTGCGCCTCGTGGCGGCGACGACGTCGTTCCTGAGGATGACTCCCAGGTCGCCCTGACAATTCGCCTCAGCCCTGGGGACTCCACGACAGTCTCGTTGAACCCTCACTCTCCTATTCTCGACATCACATATCCCCCGAATTCGATTCCGTCACCGACTTCGTCCTCTTCTGCTCTAGCTTCGTACATTGCGAAAGAATTGCGAACTACCTACGCCGAAGAACAAGCTATTATATCATACCTTCTCTCAGCAGCCTCGGGAGCTTCTGATGCGAGACCTCAGGGGATGTCGCCAGAGGCAGCCGAGTCACTGGCGAAGCGAACCACCCGTTCATTGCGATATTCACCGACGTACCACTTGAGCTTCTCGCTCTTCACTAGCGGCTCTGCCCCCAATACCTGGGACATCGAAGCAGCTATCCAAACATACATGAAGCCCATGCTTGATGTGTTGAGCCCCATCCACAACTTCACGATAGATACCCAGGTGCAGCTGTATGCAACACCAGGGGCGCAGTCCCAGGTTTTGAACAAAGACGACCTTGCCTCCTTCATCAACGCGGCCGAATGGCCCCTTTCGCCGTCCATCGGTGGTGCGCCGACGGTAAACTTCCTTCTCTTCGTCGGAAATCAAACAATTGGATTGGATTCGGGGTCCGAGACATCACAGTCCTGGCTCATCCCGCAATGGGGAACTGTTTATCTTCTGTCGCTGCCTCCGACGACGTCACATGTACCGGCTGCTACACTCAAACAACCTATGCTTACCTTTGCTGGGCACTTGCTGTCACTCCTTGGCACTCCTCAGTCAGGCTCTCTTCCTTTGCGGCTCTCGACTCTCACGCGCATCCGATCCGCAGACCTCTTGCTACGTGCATCCTCTACCCTGGGCTCCCTGGCAAGACTGTCACTTGCACTGCCGTCTATATCCATTCCCCGCAACGTTGCAGACGGTGTTACCAAAACCATGCATCATCTGGAGCTCGCGTGCGCCAGCCTAGGCGGGCCCGAGGGTTTGGAGCATGCTAGAATCGCTGAGGCCGAGGCCGAGCGAGCGTTTTTCGAGAAGAGTATGGTCGGACAACTATATTTCCCCGACGAACATAAAATTGCCGTCTATCTGCCGCTTTTAGGGCCGGTGGGAGTGCCCCTCGTGATGGGTCTGTTGAATGAAATCAAGGCATGGAGAAAGCGGAGACGAGAGAGAGCCGAGGCAGAAGCTAGAAAAAAGCTTTAGAACGTGATGAGTTGACATGACACAGCGAGTGCATATTGGCCTACACAAATAAAGTTACCAAAATTTTCGCATCCCATAAAATCGTGCCTGGGTCTCAAATCTTAACGTCTCCGGCGGTGGCAGTAACATCATGTCGGATGATAAGGTGTGAAGTTTGGAGCAATACATCCAATCCTCATATGAGCTTGGCGATGACCTTGAGTTTTGTCACTAGACGTGCTTGATTGCGGCGGAGAAAAGTCTATTGGCAATAAGCAGCCTATCTCCATTCATATCGAATCCATTTAGACCTGGACGATGTGAACCTCGGTGGATAGGTAGTCTCCGTGTTGTCTTGGGCAGCAAAGGTGAGCGTCGGTGAGATCAGGTAAGTATCGGTGAGACTATCTAAGGCCCATGCTTGCATAGATTACCTCATGGTGGGCACCTGTCACACCCCGTCGGTTCCGATCTTAGCGCTGAGTGCAATCCCTGCGCTCCAACGCCACCTCGAAGCTTGCTCGTTGTCTCCGACGAGGGGGCTTGTCCACATCCAATGCCCAGCACCGCGCTGACGTCGGCCACAATCCTTTTCTCCATTGCCATTTAACCCCCCGTCGGCGTTAACCCTTCCAACACAATTAGGTATACAAGGCTCGAGGGCTCAGCTGTCATCGCGCATTAACGGGCGCTGGGACGCAATCACAAGCTCTGGCTCGTCTCGACTCGACTTGGATGGTCTGAACCCATTGACCTTTTCTCGGCACAGCCTTCGCAAACCTACCATCTCCACTCCACAAAGCCAACAACAACGCATCGTCTCGCGCTCTCTCTATTATCATCGACGGCCTGAGCAATGTCTCCACTATGAAGAGCAGAACATGCTTCCCGAACCGTCTCTGAGCTTCACGCTCCCTAGCCTCCACGATGACACCGTCTTGGACTGCCGTTTGTATCATTGCCAGGCACTGAACCCCTCCGCATCGAACCCGCCGCCATGGAGACGACACGCTGCCGTTGTCGCACATCCCTATGCGCCCTTGGGCGGTTCCTATGACGACCCTGTCGTCGACATCGTTGCCGCCACGCTACTGCGACAAGGCTTCCTAGTGGGGACTTTCAACTTCAGGTAAGAATTGATCGGCTTGTGGACGTTGTAACAGCGAGGTTATTCGGTCACTCACACGATGATCAACAGGGGCGCTTCCGGATCAGCAGGTCGTACCTCATGGACGGCAAAGCCAGAACGCAGCGACTACATGTCATTCATTGGCTTCATGGTCTACTACATGCACTTCCTCGATCCCTACGGATCGGCCAGTGCCCGCTCGCCGACAACGACCCTGTCTCCAGGCCTCCCCGACGCCCAATCGAAGCCTCCTTCTTACCAACCCCTCCTCCTCATCGGCGGTTATTCATACGGAGCCATGGTGACGACGCAGATTCCACCGATGGCGCACATTCTCGCACAGTTCAAGGTGCCTGCAGCTGGCTCCGCGGCTGCTGACATCCGTCTTCGAGCGCAACACCTGGCAGAGCAGCAGAACGTCATCTTGGCGAGCGCTAGAGCTGCGAGTTCCGTATCACCGCGAAAGAAATACCTTGGCATGCGAGTCGGGGGCGATGAAGATACTCAGCGCAAGAGTCACGAAGCTCGAAGATCCATGTCGGAAACGAGGAGATCCTTTTCTATTGACGCCGAGGATAAGATCCGACGGGGCGTTAATGATTTACTGGCGAAAACGAAAAGACATCATCACAAGGGCGTGGCGGTGCCCCAGGAAAAATTGGCTACTATACCTTCGAACCAGGAAGTTTCTGTTGTGGTGGAAGAGGTTCCGAATCTGACCCAAGTCCGGCCGGCCTATCTACTCGTATCTCCGCTGCAGGGAGTCATTACCCATCTAGCAGCTATGTCCTTCCTTCACACAACACCTGGTCGAGGACTGTTCTCGCGGGGTGGAGGAAGACCTAGAGAGCAGGGGGCGCCGACCTTTACGGCGGATCAAAAACATCAAAGTGAGAGCAAGCTGATTGAAAATGATACCTTGGCATTGTACGGCGACAGAGATATATTCGTTCCCGTGGCCAAATTGCGAGGGTGGGTGGAACGTCTGGAAGGGACCGACGGATCCCATTTCCATGGCGAGGAGGTTTCGTCGGCTGGGCACTTTTGGACGGAAGGGAACGTGGCTTCCGTCCTCCGGGAAAAGGTCTCGGACTTTGCGGCGAAGCTATTACATGGGGACAACGAAGGTAGACCAGTCAGTGAACCGGCGTAGGCACATTCGTGTGAACGTACCTCGGAATTTCAAAGTGGCAGTGCACGAAGGACGCAACCGCCGCCTTAATCAACGAATGATTAGAAAATGGGCGTGTAAGAATGCTTCACTTAGGACGATATGAGAAACGAGTTGGATGTCAGCGAGTGTAAGCCGCACAGCGATACATGAAAGAGCAAGGCGTAGAAAGAGCGTGAACACTGTTGGAGTTTGATTCGAGGCGCCCCTATTGGTGTCTGTAGGTAGTTTAGTGATGACGTTTAACGAACACGGGCAAATACAGGTCACGAAGACTGTGTCAAACGGAAGAACCGACGTGATGACGGTCCCAATCTGACCTTGAAAGCCCGTGTCTTCCTTCCCCTATGTTACGAGGTACTGCCTTTCGCCATCTTGCAATCCCAACAATACCGAAGCTATCGCGGTACAACTCGAGACCCCTTCAACGCTAGCTAGAAGCAGAGGATCGTCGATCATGTAGTACTGCGAAATCACTCATGGATGTTCACCGTCCTGTTGGCCCAAGGTGACAGCCTCTTCTGAGTCCCATAATAACCAGGTACCAAAAAAAAATGTCTACAATGGCAAAAGAGTTCACCCCCCCGGTGCTGAACTGGGGGCTACATCTCTTGGTGCTCATGCTGGGAAGAAATTTATGGTGCTCAGGCTGGGATTCGAACTCGGGTACTCTCGTATGCGCTGAGCCTGTCGTCGAGTAGGCTGGTTGGCGATTTTATTTGTCGACCGTAAACCTCTCCACCACCCAGCCAGTTTGACCTGACCCGTCGACCTAGACGGGCGCCTGCTGGCTGGTGAGAGGAACGGAGTTGAGAGGGGGTATATACCCTTCTCGTGTATTCAGATGGAAGGTGCGAGTGTTCCACGGGTCGGTGGCTTCTTTCCCATCAAGGTGCCCTGCCGCGTGCCCTGCCAACCTGACCGATAGCACCATTTTTTGCTCAGGAAAATGAAGCCGCCGTGAGGCCTTGTCTCTATATATCTCTGCATCTTAGAAGACGCATTCGTTTTTGTTGATTCTATGATAGGTAGATACGTAAATACGTAAGACCCTGGAGTGGTGTAAATTTCCATCCACGTATAAACCTACTCAATGGTACATCTGAATTAGCGGACTGACAATGTTATCAATCCCCATAAGGAAACATGGCATACATACGAAATATAGGTAAAGCTGACTGTATTGTCTGCTATTATTTCGATGATAGCCGAAAAAGTTATCATAGGGTAAGAGTAGAGACCTTGAGCGTGGCCTCACTTCTCACATTACCTGAATGGGTTTCGTTGACGACCTCGGCGCGATTGGCGAAGGTAATAGGGACGAGTTGCCCTTTCTTCGTGGCTACTAAAAGCCGTTTTAGGACCCAAAACAGTATCCCGCGATGTCCGAATCTTGGCGGTGAAAAGTGTCATCATAAGGCCATCACTTTCCCCATGCAGTAGTAGAATGGTCACTAGCATGGCCACTTGTGCCGTCGACTTGCATGATAACTATGTCGGTCTGCCATGGACGCAAACAGTGAATGGGAAGTCAAGCAAAACGAGTCAGAGTTCTGGTAGCACAAAGCGGCCAAGACTGGACTGCGTTCTGGGGCATTGGATCTGCTTAGAGTAAAGGGATCGATCGGGCTTTGGGAGAGCGATTACGTTTATGAACATGAACAAGATCAACCATGAGACGCAAGTGTGGAGACGGAAGCGGCAGAGTTCTGAATCATGAGGTCGGGTGTGCATCTGGGTAGAATGCTCCGGAATAAGATCGGGATTATAATTTGGGGAGGATAATTACGCATAGATTTTGCAATCATGGTATTCTGCCTTTGACTCTGATTACTCTGGACAGTTTCCATAGTGTGCAAATCAAACGGTTTATGAGAGGAATATCCATCTACGTAGCAAGGACGCCGTTGAAAGCGTTGTGGGCGGCAGTTGAATATTTCCCTTTTTTCTCTTAGTGGTGTGGGGAAGAGAAACACATGGATTCCGGAGTGCATGAGTGACCGGTCCTTGAGCGTTTCTGGGCACTCAGATATTCATGGGGTAGAGCGCTGAGATAGATCATGATGCGGGGTGCGAAATCTAGAGTGGCATTCAAAGTTCAAGGTCCAGGAGCACCCACTATGCCTTTTGCTCAGCTGATGGAGGCCAGAGTTGAAGGCCGGAGAGTTTATCTCAAGTCCCTACAGAACAAGACGGCCTGGGACCATCTTTTGTGACAGGCGAGGCAAGCGGCGGCGGCGGGAGCTGACTATGGGAGATGAGACGGAATGGAAAGTTCGCCGGGCGGCCTGTCCCGGAGGCTGTCGGTATTGGTGTTATGGTGGTGGTTGGTACGTGTGCGGATAACATGACCGGTGTTCAAACGCTCTATTTTCGAGATGAAGAGTGTTAGGTCCGGCTTTTGCTGGAGATACGGGCAAAGAGTGTCACATCATGTTACGGGCCTGAGCAAAGCAAGGCAAGGCAAGGCATGGCAAGGCATGGCAAGGCAAGGCATGGCAGAGGGCGGGATGTTAAAAGGGTAGAGTAGAGAACTGTCAGCTGAGTACATACCGGAGCGGAACGCAGCGGGTGAGATGGGACGCTGAAGAATGAAATCATGGTATGCGAGTCTAGGGGTTGTGACTGAAGAAAAAAGATATCGACAAACAGAAGAGAAGACTGGGAATGAGAGTGAGAGGCACATGTGAGGAGGTGAGTGAGCGAAAGTCTGCATGTGGAGACGAGGCGTCAGGCGAGGGTGTATCGCGGCAGGGCGTGATTGGGTGAGGGTTGACGATGCAGTTGCTTGGTGTTCTGCCCCTCCGTGCCCCTCTGATGTGCTCCGTTACCCCCAGGATCCCCAAATCCGGGGTGGGCCACTAAGCTGGAAGAGTCTGGAGAAGGGGGCCACTGGGGGGTGGTCATGATGGTGGGGTGGGGCCGCCTAGCAGAGGTCATCTGCCCAGCGCCTGAGCTGAGTATCCCAGCGAGAGACAAGACACAGACTTTGTGTATGTACTCGGTTCTCCGCAAGGTGTAAGGTCCCTTTTATGATCCGGGTTGCCTCTGGTGTTGTGCGTCTGCTGCTGCATCTGTGATTGCGTCTGTTATTGCGTCTATGGGAGCATCTGTGGTTTTTGTAAGGTACCTAGGTATTCAAAGACGACAAGTTGCTGAGCTAAGGAAGATCCAGATCGACCAATCGGTTACCGCTGAATGGCCTATTACGTCTGGCTGTGACGCAGAGACGTTGGCACGTGGACCCCTGAGGGCGGTATGCAGAATGCTCCCCATCGCCCCGCCTGCTCTTCTGCTTCAGGGCGGCACGGCGGGAGTCAGGACGGTCGGGTCAGCAATAATTGCACTGGTTATGCCAGGTTCTCCACGTTCCATTCCCGGCCACTGACGGCCAAACGTTGTCACTGGGCCACTTCTTTCCCTCGTCTCCAAACCAAACTCGACGTTGCCAAGTTTCCAATTCCACCTCACTTCGGGCACCTAGTACATCCGCTCTTCTTTCTTCACGACACTTCCTCCCTTCCACTCCCGATCCTCTCTACCAACACATCCTCTCTTCCTTTTGCCTTCAGTCTCGCTCTGCTGTTCTCTTTGCTCTTTCTCTCTCTCTCTCTTCTGCCTCGCTCAGTCACCGAGACAACATCAAGTAACGTCCAGTCCGTCGCTTCATCTTGGTCCACTCGCCTCCAAGTTCCAACCACTCTACTCGGCATCTGACCAACCATCTCGTCTCGCTTGCGCCCGCCTGTTCCTCTTTACCCTTCTTGTCATCACCTACTACCAAGGAGGGTTACCCTCTCTCTATACCTACTGGTACTCCCGAGTCCTTCAACGCCTCTTCTACCCCCACCGAACAGTAACGACTCTTTCGACTCCTCCGACAAGTCCAACACCCCCCTTCCAAACAGGTTGTCCGGTCATCTGCGCTCCATTTCGGCGATCTGCACACTGTTCCTTGTCTGCCTGAGCTCGTGTCACCCAAAGATTACCATAATCACCAAAACAGTATCATGGGAATCATCTGACAGCCGCAACGCCTACTTTCATACCCTTTGTCTCATTACTCACTGAGACCAAAGCACCGTCACTGGCTTCCTATACGAACTTCTCCCCGACGACGCTTGCCTGACTGTACAGCCTTAAGAAACGGCATCTTGACCAGAACTCTTCGACAGACGCTTGGCCTATCGCTGCCTACATTCCCACCTCGTCTTTTCTCCGCACCGTCCTACGCTACTTTGCTCTACCCCTCCGAACTCGCTGCCGTCGCGACGACACACCGACGCGCGCATGCTCTGACCGCCCTCAACAACCCAACAACCAGAAAAAAGCACATGTCAGGAGTCTGTTGCACAACCACGCTCCAAGGCCGTGATGCGACACGGACGGCACCAGGGCTGCCTCTCGTTCACCAGCTTCGTTTCCCGACTTTTCACCTAGCCCTCCGAACCACCATCGTCACCTTCGACCCAAATCCACCCTCGCCATCATGAACGACGTTTTCCTGAATCCTGTGCACCCTCTGCCCGCGATCCGGGTCAAGTCCTCCTCCCCCTCTGGCCCCTCGGCCTCGACCAAACCTGGCCGCCCTTCTTCCATCAAGAAACAACAGCCACCGACACCTCTAAATGCTGCCTTTGATTCAATATCCCGGGCCATCAAGGGCGCCAATAACCTTGTCTTGTCTCTTCGTGATGGACTGTCTGAGCTGGAACGGGAAAACAGGAGGAAAAAGGAAGAGCGCAGGCTTGTGCTCTCTATTCACATGAAGAATGTACGTCTGATCTTCGTTCAGTCCCACACGTTGCACCAGCCTCAAGCCGGTCCGCTAACCAATCATCCTTACGTAGGCGGAAAGCAGGAAACAATGGCAGGAAGCCGCAGAAGAGCTCGACATCCTCGAGGAAAATAACCTTTGGAAACTCGACCCATATTCGGGAGATTACAACCCAGCCCTGATTGAGGCGCGACTGAAAGAACTC